GCACTTCACATGAATTATGTTATTTAATTCTCAAACTAATTGTATGAGGCAATTACTATTATTTTATAGACGAGGAAACTGATGGTTAGAGATGTTAGAAGCGCTGCCCTAGGATACATAGCTGTGAATTGTCAGAGTATTTGAACCCTTACTCCAGCATCTAAGTACTTAACCACTGCCTCTTTGGATGCTTATATTAACACAAAAGTAATTCAAAATCAGATAAGGGTCCTGAGTATTTGATTTGCAGGGAAAAGAGTATGGAGATGGCCGGTCTTGTCCCTGTTGCAAACATCTTTTTTTTTTTTTTAACTCTCTAATATGAATTTATTTACAACCACTTTGACTCCTGAAACCACTGAGGTCTAATCAAGTGAGATAATTTAGCATAATAAAATTGTGGGTTTTTTTAATTAATTTATTTACTTTTTAAATACATTTGTCTCTGCCTTCCTGTTGCAAACATCTTGATTAAACATCTTGATTGCATTTAGCAAGAAGGCACTGATTCAGGTGACTGTTAGCAGCAAAGGTAGACAGGTCTTCATGTAGGTATTGGATCGGCCAAAAAGTCCGTTTAGTTTTGCTTGTAAAATAAAAGACACGTTTTTCATTTTCACCAATAACTTTATTGATTTGGATATTGTGAGTATGTTGGCTATCTCTTGCTATTGGCTTCTAGTGGGTAGAGGCCAGGGGTGCTGCTAAACATCTTCCAATGCATAAGACATTCCCACAGCAAAGAATTATTTATTTGGCCAAAATGTCAATAGTACCAAAAAACTTCGCAAACCACTTTTGACAAGTTCAATTAGTCACAGTACCTTCTCCATATACTGCACAAATCTTTTTTTTTTAAGTTTCAGTTATGTTTTTTTACCTTTCTTGAAATAATAAAGCATAATACAGCAAAAATGTTGCATATCTTGTTCCACCTTCAATATTTAAATGGCTGCACAAAAATTCACCAATTTTGTTTTTTTTTAGTAAAAGGTGAAAGATGTATATGATCTGAAGAGAAACCAGAGTTGATGTTTTTTAAGTGCACATTGATATGTCAGCTGTCACAATACAACCTAACAAAATTGTTTCGAATGAAGTTAAAGACAAGTATTACTAGAGCCATTCTACAGAAAAAACTAAACTAACTTTTTGGCCAACCCAATATATGCAATTGTTGACCTTCAGCTGTGCCTCACACAAAGAGCTGGGGTCCACAGCCTGGTGGGGCAACACCAGTTACACAGGCACAGTGGGGGGGTGGACTGTCAGAGGCCAACCGGGGACCTTGTGGAGCATGGAGGACAGACACCTAACTGAGGCTGGGAGGATGTGAAGCATGTCCAGGAAAGCTTTCATGAGGATCTCTAGGCATATGTTGGGTGATTGTATATATAAGAACGGTCTGTTTTTATTCTTCCTAGTCTTTTCCCTTCTTTCCATTCTGCCAGTCACTGCCAGATCACATCATTCCTCAAAATCTTTTAATTATATCATCAGCTTTTATTTAATTTCTTGACCTGCCATTTAGCTCTCTGTTCCCACTCCAGCCTTTATTTCCAGAGCTCCTTTCTGTCCAACACACACCCAATATGTCCTTGACACTCCGCCTTGGCTCACTCACTGACTTTGCTGGAAATTCCTACTCTACTCCAGAGTCAGTCATTGCCACTTGCTCAAATTCAGCCTGTTTTTCCAGAATTTAGATCAATCGTCACCTCCTCCAGAGAGTCTACCTGACACCTTCTTCCAGTCAGAAGTTCCTTCATCTTTTGCAACCACATGGTGCTTTATTACTTTTTTAATTGCCCCCATCAGTTTCTACTTTGTATTAAAATCACTTCGGACTCAACTATCAACAACTGAATCTAAAAAATAAAAACAAAAACAAGCTATGCCAACAACCAGAACAGGTATGGGCATCATTTGGAGGTTATCAGCTGGGAGGGGGAAGGGAGAGAAAAGGGGAAATAGACTAGGGATCAAGAAGCATATCTGGTAGGAACAAAATAGACAGGGGGAGTTAAGAACAGCATAGGGAAGGGAGAAGCCAAAGAAGTTACATGCAGGACCTATGGACATGAATTAAAGGGAGCAGCTTGCTGGATGGAAGCGGGGTACTGGGCAGTGGGAGGCAAAGGGAAAATAATTGGGACAACCGTAACAGCATATTCAATAAAATGTACTAAAAAATAAAAATTTAAAAAAGAACACCCAGTTCCCCACCCCACCTCACCCCGGCCACCCCAATCATTTGGGTACAAATAGGGCTGATACTCAGCTGGTACACAGCAAGGACCCTCCAGTTGTGAAAACATGGCATGTCTCTGTACTGGTGTGTAAATAGCTACAGCTCCAAGCCTCTGAGTACCCCACCTCCTACTACCCCATCTAGAGGGGAATGGTTTGAACATCATCTCTGAGTATATGTCCTAGCCTTTTTTTTTTTTTTGGTATTGCTTAAGACCCTGTCCACCTCACAGAATTGTTGTGGGGATGCATTGAGATGATGTACTCGAGAGTACTTAGCATAATGCTTGGTATTAAAATACATGTTAACTAGCACTAGTGGTCCTTCTTGCCTCAGAATGAAGGTAGTATATAGTCTTGCCTGGGTTCTCAGAGAGCCAAACAGAGGGCTTTGCACATAGGAAACAGTTCACCAGTTCTAGCGGAATGAATTTGCTCCAGCTGTCAGGAGAATTTTGTAAAGTTAAAAGTTCTATGATACTATTGTGTAATACTTTACTATAAAGAGGCAAGCTTTCTTCAAATTCTGAGTGATTGTTTTTTAAGTTGGTAAAAACCATCTATAAAAAGAATTTTTAACAAATAAAAAAATGTCCTCCTCAAGAAAACCCACTTCTAACTCAGTTCATTTGTGTTATTGAACATTTCTATATTTTATTTCATTAATAATATGTTAATATTAATATAATAATAGATTAACTGTGCAGATCTTACATTATTAAAACAGTTCTTCACAATGTAATCGTTAATGTGAAACCTGAGGGGAAGAGGAAGGAAAGGTGAGAAAGTTGTGTTAGAATTTATGGTAAAAATTTAGAGACAAAAAATGTTTAAGTCCATTATCTGCATTGTTTCCACCATGATTTGATCAGTCCAAACTCCTGTGTGCCCACATAATTTACAGACTCCCTGGAATTTGACTTGGGCCAACATTCCTGCTTCATTAGTCTGTGAAAGAGTGTAGTTTTCAGTGCAAACTAATACAACCTGGGAGAGCCTTAGTCAGGAACTATTATTCATCCAAAGCCATTTACCTCATCTTTACTTGGTTTGTCAGATCACCTTTGGACACCGCTAGACTTATTAGTGACACGTGGGGCCAAGGGAGTTGCAAACCTGATTTGGGTTCTGGAAGAAACTTGTTCATTGTCCTGAAGCTTCTCTCACTAAGTGGTATAATTTCTTACTGCAATGGGCCTTTCAAAAACAAGCAAACCTGTCATAGCCACTTAAGTTAGATGTTGTGGGAATAAATTTATATTTTTATGCATCCAAAAATAACATATATATATATATATATAAAACACACTTTATACATATTTTTAATAATTATCATTGAATATTTTTAATAAAGAGCTTATCATATCATATCATAGTAGAAGTAAAATGTATCAGGCCTGTCATATATTCTGTTAGTTGTTTTAATTTACATAGTAATTTTGGAGACCTTGTTTTAACCTCAGCCTCCTACATCAAAAATTCCTAGTATAGTATTGCTTATCTAGTAATTTTTATACTGTTTTACCTCAACACCTTCCCTTCCCTCATGAAAAGAATGGCATATTGTTTGTACTTTTCATTATACTCTTTTCCTCAGAAACTTTTAGGGTGAGGCCAGGGTAGAACTAAACAAATGTCCCGGTTGTGCGTTGTTATATAACAATGTATAAAGTCATGATGTAGTAAATCTCAATTTGTCCAAGAAATCCCTTGTTGATTCTACTTATGGAAATGAGTCTTTTTAGCTTCCTTTGGTACATCACCAATTTTTTTCTTTTGGCAGATTATTCTAAAATTGGGCAGCTGAAACAACAGGAATAAGTTCCAGACCTCTGTCTCCCTAGAATTATAACATATTCAGGGAATTAGAGGTTTTTTTTAAAAAAAATGAAAACCGAATACCATATACTAATTAGAATTAAGTATTTAAAATCTCGACCATTTAAAGTTTAGAGCTGTCAGAGGTGTTGTGCCAAGTTAACCAGGTCACCATGGGCCACTGACATTTAAGCAGGATCTGCATTCCCAAGACCCTTGTGTGTGACTTTAACTCTTTAACTGAGGTTATGTGGCCCGGGAAGGGGTCATTTGATATTGATATTTGGCATTTATTCATCTAGAACACTACCTCACACTGAAGGTGGTTTGAATCAATTCTTTTAAATAAATGGGCAAATTGGGACTGAACCTTTCTCTGAGTTTACAAATTACATTTATAAAAGCAAATGTAGTTTGGAAATGGACCCCATCTATTTAAATTTAAACTTATGCTAGCATTTTGTGCGGAGGGCAATAGGAAAGAAAAGGAAAATGTAGTTTAAAGTTTTAACAGAACTCCCAATATTTTGAGGGGGAAGGAGTAGAGGATATGAGATGATTTTCTCTTCTTAGTCCATCTTTTTTTCATGACTTGGCCTGTCTCTCCAGGTTTAAGCTTCCATTCTGAGTCTCTTCCCTGCACATCACTTTCCTTAATCACATATATTTCCATATGCATAACTATGCCCATCAACCTATCTCTTTGAAAGCTCTTCTCCCATCCTGATCTTCTAACTGTAATCAACTGGTAGATTTATAATTAAAATGTATTTGTTATTTTTTTCAAATTTAATATAGAGGAATGGTTTATGCCTATATGGATGGGTTTAAGCATTCCTTTCTAAACTGTGGATGAAAATAATTAATATTTTGTATTATATATTTCTAGAGTGTGAAGTCTAGCTGAAAAACGTTTTACTTTAAAAGGAAAGATGCTGTCTCCAAATGATAAAAAGTTGGAAAAGCTGGATCCGTTTTACCGGCCTTCAGTGGCCAAGCAGAAGACCAGTGCAGAGATCATAAGTGAGGCCCGAAATGCATTAAGAACAGTAAGGACCCAAAGACCATATACACCACAGGAAGACCAAAGGAAACTATTTGGGCCTGCCTCTTCGAGGACATCAGAAAATAGACCCCCTTCCTCCTTCAGGTATATGACGTTTCTTTTGCCTGTGCTTTCTGATATGTAAGCCACCAGATGACACTTCCCCTTGATTTCTTTCTGCTGACTTACACCAGTTATACCTCTTGTATCTGTTCAGGATTCCCAAAGATAATTACAGACCTCGAGTCCAAGAAGGTGATCTGCAATGGTTAATAGTGGTGTCATATCTACTTTATAAAGCAATATGAACAAAGCTCTAACAAAATCATTATATGCATTTCTTCTTTTCATTATTCAATATTTTTAATTCTCCTAAAAGGAATGAAAAGATTTACTAATAAAATGTTTTAAGTACTATGATTTTTTAAGATTACCTCTTCCTCAAGACTTATGTACTGAATATATTTGTTTTGGGCTAGCATTAACTGATATACACTAGAAGTAAAAGAAATGATTCTTCACAAACTGATACTTCTGTTCTATCTTCTCTGCTAGTCTCTATGCGTCCAGTTTTGAGTCCTCTGATTCCAGGTCCATCTCTGGTACACGCCTCAGCCCACTAGAGCTTGTGAGTATTTTATAGCATCATGAGTGCTATGAAATGGAATCGGTCAAAAATGCTTGGAATTAGCACTAATAGATGCTAAGAAAATGATCACATAGACCTAAATGTAATGCTAAGAATTGAATATGAAAGCAAATCCTTTTATACTTTTTCAAATATAATGGTTAGTACCTAATAAAACATTTCTAGTTACCTATAGTTTAATAATAAATAATTTTAGAAATAGAGTAACCTGGCAAACAAAATGGGTCAGAGTAATTTTTTTTAAATTCAAAAAGTTATGTATATATATATTATTTTAATAGTTGTATACAGATAAATACATGTACATAAAGATACAACTACTTGCTGCCCAAACAACTCCAGCAGTCTCCTCTCCCCTTATTTTCATCGTCCCTTCCCCAGTGGCTCTCACTTTAAACTCTTTTGGCTTTTTTTTGTTGTTGTTGTTGTTATTTAGATCCAAATTTCTAAATAGAACAGTGTGTCGCTGCTCTCTTGACTTGTGAGCTTGCAGAATTATCTAATGACTTTCCATTGAGGAAGAAGAAGATCTAACTCTTGTCTATCCTCCCAAGCCTCCTCACAACACACTCACCCTTTCTGTCCCCACTGCTACTCCCAATATAGGTATATCATAATTTTGGGTAGATCTCTTTTCTCTGACTACATAAACCCTGTTTGCAGCTGAGCCTTGAACTAGTGATGGTTAATGATGATTACTTCTTCCCTCTGGCATTAATAATTGCCTGCTTCTTTAGTTTTGTAGTATTATTATTTCAATCCCAAGCTCTTCCCCTGTGCTCTAAATTTCCTTCGTATATTTAGATGCAGGAGGTATTCTGTTGATTCACCTCCTCCTCGGAGAATTTTCCACCCTCCCTGCTGGACCACTTGCCCTGGGCACCTGGCACACAGCTGGCTTTCCTCTCCTGTGCTAGAGTTCCTGTTTCCTGTATCCAGAGTCCTCCTCTCTCTTGATTTACTCTTGCTTTGGTGGAGCACTCCCTCCAACAACTTCTTGAGAAAGAGTGTATGGGAAGTAAATTATTTGAGACCTTGATTGCTGTATTTTCTCTCTGGAGCATGGAGGATTTTTCTTTGTTCCCACTGTTGTGAAATTTTATGATAATGGGCCTTTATGATAGTCCATTTTCATCCATCCTGCTGGGAACTTTCAGTGAGAAATCTCATGCCTTCCAGCTCTTGGAAATGCCCTTGAATTATTTTGATATGTCTTTCCCTCTCTTTTGTTCTGTTTACTCTTTCTGGAATTTATTATTTGGATGTGGGATCCCCTGGACTGGCATTTTAATTTTTTTATTTTTCTCTTTTCTGTTTCTCGTCATTTTTTAGAAGAGATTTTTATCTTCTAATCCTTTTATTGAGTTTTTAATTTCTGCTACTTTTAATTTCTAACCTCCCTTTAAATTATCTTTTATATATATGTATATGAATACTATACATATATAGTGTATATATATGTATATATAGTATTCAGTTCTTGTTTCATGGTTGTAGCCTCTTATCTGCATGAATTAGTGATAGTTTTGATGTTTCAATTGTTTTTTCCCTCACAGTTCTGAAGATTAGAAGTCTGAGATCAAGGTGGCAGCTGGGTTGATTACTTCTGAGGACTATCTGCTTGATGAACGGCCATCTTTCTGTTTCCATATGGTCTTTCCTCCATCTTGTTGCATTTTTCTGTCTGTTCGGGCCTCTGCTTTTCGTATCAGAGGCTCTCCTTTGATAGCTCATCTATCAAAGCTCATGCTGCTTGTTTGTCCTTATTTGAGAGTGGAAGTATGTAGAATGGGTTGGTTAACCCTTCGGTGATACCTACCCACACCTACATTTAGCAGGGAGGGATTTGGCTGGGCTGTGTTGTTTATGAAACTCCCAAAGATAGTATCTTCAGGACTTTCCGTGTGGGCCAGTTAATTTTCTATAGAAGTAGCTTCAGAACTCTTGCCTGGAGGATAAAGGCTAGTTGCTAACTACTAGCAGCCAGGTAAAGGTGACATTTGGTATTTGAAAGTTTCATTAATATCTGTGCTACAAAAAAATACCCCAACCCTCACCTGGGCCTGGTTAGCTGATTCAGAGGCCCTCTGTTTTACCCTCTTGAAAGAACAAATCTCCCACCTACTCCTGAATTCAGTAGCCTGGTGACTCAGAGCCGGGAGGGAAGGTGTCACGACAGACTGGCAGCCAATCATTATTTTATGTTCCCCTCCCCTAGGCCCCTGCTATTACAAGTACCAGTGATACCAATTCCTTAGATGTCTGTGGAGTCGGAGTGTCACTCAAGCTGCTTCTCAATTTTTATTTCTGTTTACGTGTGTGCACGGGTGTGTGTGAGAGAGTTTGATGGGCTGTTTGATAGTAAGTTGCAGACCTTATAAGACTTCATCCATAAAAATTTAAGTGTATCGCATATGAACAAGGATAGTCTCCTACATAACTACAATGCTATTATTATATCTCAGAAAATTAACATTACTCAGTAGCACCATTTAATGTATAGTCCATGTCCAAATGACCCTAATTGTCTTGAAATGTATCTTATATTTTTATGTCCTTTTTAAAAATATTCATATTTAGACAGAAGGGAAGGGGTGGAAAGAGGGAAACATCAATGTGTGGTTGCTTCTCGTGCACCCCCTACTGGGGACCTGGCCCACAACCCAGGCATGTGCCCTGACTGGGAATTGAACCAGAGACCTTTTGGTTTGCAGGCTGGCGCTCAGTCTCCTGAGCCACACGAGCCAGGGCTTGACATGTATCTTATATTCTTAAAGCACTCATCAAAATGCCTCTGTGAGGAAGATTATACTTATATTGAAGATGACAAAAATAAGATTCCAAAATAGTATGTACGAACCAATGCACAATGAATATTTTACCAGCCATTGTTGGTGTATGGCTTTTTGTACCCAGGACATTGGAAGCCACTTGGGTTTTGAGTCAGCTGCCATAAGAGGACCCTTGATTCAGCAGCCCAGTGGGTCTACCTGGTTGTAGAATGGCTCTCTATTCTATGATTCTGCATTTTGACTCCTATAAATAATTTTTAATATTTCTATAGTTTTGGGGACTCATTCAATTTTCACCCACTCTTTCCTGAAAAATCTCTACTTATAGACTTAACCTGGTCCTTGTCAAGCTGGTTTAGTTCTAAGACTGCAGGACTAGGTGTTAGGCAAAGATAAATTGGTGTTTGCTTCTGTTTAGCGTCATTGCTATTAAATTCCTTTACTGCAGAATGGCTGGATACTATATGCAAAGTAAAAATGGGCTAAGAAATCTCCACATAAAGTTAAATAACTCCTTTAGTTTGAAATATTTCTCTTATAGTAGATTATGTAAGGTCTCAAGTATATTTTATTTTATACAATAATTAAAGTTTGGAGCTCCCAGTCAAAAAATTCTGAAAGTGGCCTCATAACTACCTGCCCTCCCACGTTCTTTCCTTCTTTCACTTCACCTTTTAATGAAGCCCTTGCCTCTGGTAAACACTAAATTGAGGGAGGAGGTGGGGGGGCAATAAGAGAAGGGGGACAAAGGAGACAGGATAAGGCAGTATCATGGGGGTGGGGTTCTAATAGGGGACCCGCTTGCTGAAAGAATTGGTGAAGGCCTAACCAATTGAATTTCAATACTGTTTGGATCTAGGACACTTTCCTGGGCTAGTTTACCTTTTTGTAGTTTCTCAGTAGCAGTCAGACAGGGAACAGGGACCTGGAGCGCAACTCCTTCCCCTCCTACATTTAACACATCAGCTCAACTCTGCCTTTGCACACCTACCCTCTTCTCCGTCTTTCTCCCCCTCATCTGGTGGTGGGCTTTCTGCACCCAGAAATGACCTGGGCTTCAGAAAGCGATGGAAAAACTGGGGCTCCTGGTCCTGACCTCTCAGGCCTTGGCTGGCTGGTCTGACTGGCTCACCAGGGTTCCCATTAGCACATACAACCTTTAGGACAGGAACCCCCTGCAATTTAGTCTCCCATTAACATTTAGGCTGCTTTGTAGGAACGCTCAGGTACCTCTTTTTTCCTTCTTAGCTGCCCCCACCCCCGACCACCGCTTTGAGCCTGGAGCTATTGTGTAGTGGTAGTTACTCCTATTGTCATTCTGCGGCTCTGGCTGCGGTTTCTGGTGTTCAGACTGATCTACTCAGGGGCAGCTGCTCTCCTGCTTTGCACTGATCATGTAGGAAAAGCTATGTGACCATGTGAGTAAACAAGAAATTTTGTTGTTCTTCATCGTCATTGTCAAAACAGAGTTCTCCCTGTGTCTGCTCACGTTACAAAGCCTCGTCATTTAAGCTCAGGTATTTCTATTAAACTTTTTATTGACACATAGAAAAGACACAGATCTTAAGAGTGCAGCTTGAAAAATTTACACAAACACGACACACTCAGCATTCAAAAAGAAAAAATAGATCATTACTAGCAGGCCCGACACCACCTCCCCACAGTGACTGCTGCCCTGACTTCCCAGAGCAGAGATTACTTTGAGCCATTCTTTTTATACCTTATGGGAACCAAGCTCCAAGTACCTGACAAGTAAAACAAAATTTAATATATTTTTAAAAGAAAGGAACTTAGAAGCCCATCTATACCTTGAGGGTAGAGGAGAATCCAGGGTAAGAATAGGAAGAATAAGAATGTTAAAGCAGTGTTTTTTCTTTCACTGTTTCTGAAAGGAGGGGTAACATTACCACAGTGAATCACATGAGTGATAGTGGATCCCAGCGCACCTGTGGAGAAAATCATGGTACTAGAAATGCACATATAATTGCCACACCCCAAGGTTGTGTGCTGGGGGGAATTTTTAATATTTGCTTTCTAACTTCCAAGACGTGTATGTGTGTGGTGTGTGTGTGTGTGTGTGTGTTCTGCAGCTTTACAAATTAAATCATAGCAGCCTTCTGGGTTGGGATGTCATAGACTCCCTTTCCAGCTTTCATGTAGAATAGGGAGTCTATAGGGATCACCTTCCCGTGTGGTGATCCCCAAGGAGCCATGTCAGAAATTGATCAAGGCCCGCATGCTGGGAGGAACGTCGAAGCCAGCCAGACCTCTTAAATGCTCTAGGAATATTGTCTTCTTTGATTAGATTGTTCTATGAAAACAGTCTTTCAATCTTCAGTGGACTCTAGCAGTTTTATCAACCGGAATAAATCCTCACTTCTGACTCTCCAGTGTCCTTGATTATATCCTCAAGTCCCTGGTTAGTGTCATGACACAAAGCACGAGGGCGGGAAGGTCCTCAGGTGAAGGTGTAAAGTTGCTTGCAACGTTCTCTGAATTGTAAAGTGACATGAATTCTCTAAGAAAAATGTGTTACTGTTTTGCTTTCTAAAAGCCATTTGGTTTCACAAAGTGAAAGACAATTTTTATAGAACCTGGCATGATAGAAATTGATGGCTTGTTTAGTAGTTTTTCTCCTTGAAGAATTAAAAATGCTTTACATGTATCAGTTTATATCTTAAGTTGTGCAGTGAGATATATGTTAAAATGGGATACATAATTTAGTAAAGGTCAGTAGTAAAATGGAACTAATTTTTCATTGCACAAACGATGACTAATTTAGCACTGGGAAAATAATGCCTGCTATCAAGGAGCAGTTAAGGGGCTCTGTCTTGCCATCCAAAGGCCACTCTGTTATTCTCTTTTGGGTAAAAGTTATCTTTGCAAAACTATATTTTCTCTTTTTATAAGATCTTTTATTTAGCACACAAAACATTTATAACAGTTAAGGCATTTGTAAAAGAAAACACCTACTTTATCTCATTATTATTATTTGGCAGACTTCTCGATCTTTGTTTCATATTTAAGAAACATATTGCACCTGCAGAATACAGGTTTTTAGATAAGAAAACCTTGTATCTACATTCACTATTGAGATTATCCTTATGTATCTTATCTTTGATAATTATACCTAAAGCACTTCTTTTCCTATATTATACTCTTAGCTTTTTTGTTACTATTAGCTTCATGGCCTAAGACACATTCTAATGAATATTTTACAACAAATTAGTGAGAATAAAAAGTAAAGTGAGTATTTATCAAACAAGTGCAGCAGAATTTATACAGACAAATGAGTGTTCTCTCCTTCAGAATAGAGCCCTCTTAATTTAGGATCTTTCTCCAGTAAGGCTGTGTCAGAGGCCAGGGCCTTGGCTTTAAGACTTCAGAGTAATCTAGAGCCAAATTCAGTAAATAAAGAGCGAGTAACCTACACAAGGAAGGGAGCTAGCATTCTTGAGTCTCCATGACAAGAGTGTCATGTCCCTGTAAGGATACAAGATACGTCAGTGTCCCTGTAAGAAGGGAAATGCTGTCGCCGTTGGGTAGCTGGGCAAATTCAGAGAAGTAAATGGCCTGCCCAAGCTCCCATGACTAGTAAGTGAATCCCACTTCAGGTCGGTCTGATCCCAAAGTTATTTACTCTCCCTTTATATTGTGTTAATTATTTTATTACCATTTTTCTGTGTTTAGAAGAATGTGTCTCTAATGTCATAACTAATTTCTTACGTGGTTCGTGGACAGATTTCAGATGCAAATGAACCCAAGGGTATAAAAGATATTTTGAATACACCTGAAAAATAAAACAAAAATGTTTTGAAAAATGTCATCATTATTGAAATAAGTAAGCAACTTCTTGGAAGGAGAACTCTAATATAGATGTCACTCTTCTCTTAACGTATATGAGAAAATAAGTGTTTAAAATTATGTGTGGTATATGATAGATGACTTCACCCATTTTAACACATTATCTGACTTGAACTTCATACTAGATATTTTAAAAATTTGTTGATTAACCTGTTGGATTGAGAGTCACTCATTTCACATATTATGGAAGTGACTTGAGGAACTTGAACTTGATTATTTTTGGTTAGAGAACTACAGAGCACTTGCTGCCATAAGATTGCCCTTTCACAGGCAGATAATCATGCTCAAATTGGAGAGGAAAGGATGGACCGGCAGGCAACTCTAAAAGTGAGTTGAGGCCACCGCGAGGACCTGGCCCTGGCTCAGGGCCACTGCCGTCTGGAGGTTAGACCAGAGGGCGCTTTGGATGGCCTAGCGCTTGGTGCAGGTATTTTTAAAGTCTTTAAGGAATTGGAATTTTGCCAGTAGTGTTTTTTGTTTTTTTTTTTACTAAGGATGACAGCATAGAATTTCAGAGATATGGAATAAAACATGTTTATGTCCTAAGTCCAAGACAACTCCTTGCTCTTATGTTTTATGACTTTAAATTATTTAAAATATTTTATATCATTAAAAAAGTACTTTTGTGGAGTCCGAGATAGTCTAAAGGTAGTATTTCTATTCCATATAGTTCTTGACACATATAGGTGCCCAATAAATGTTTTCTGAGCTGTACCAAACACAAAAATTTGCAAAGCATATTGAATATATTCTACCAAAATTTTTAGTCTCATACAGATATCTGTGTGCTAGCATGGGTAAACCATTAAAAAAAACCCCAAACACTACGCTAAGCAGGACAGTAGACTATTTAATACAACGCATTTGACAAAAACAATGAAAAAGTGTTATCTGTAGAACATATTAGGTGCGATGGGCCAGCGGGACACAGAGGCTGGGGGCCAGGGTGGAGCCAGGCAGAAAGCTCTGTCCGTGTTCGTCTGGGAGCGTCAGAGCCAGCTCCAGGGTGGTGGACTTATTGGAGACACAGAAACTCATGCCAATCATTTAAAAAAATCTCTTTGCAGAAACCGAAAGCCCCAGCATCTCCCACCACGGAGGAGGATCCCTGCCTTTCTTTTCCTAAACCCCCAGTGGACCCTGCGAAGATTAGAAGAATAAGCAGTGCCCGGGCGCGCTTATTCAGGGCGGCCTCCCAGGGGCCTCTTCTGCCAGACAGGACCCTTCCTCCCGCCGAGCGTAAGGCCAAGTAACAGTCTTTAAAACCTGGGGGCAGGCATGTCTCTTGAATTTGCACACAAAAGCTATTTTTATATAATTTTTCAAACCTCACGTGATTTTTTTATGTGAACTAAGACTTGGTGAATATTGTACAAAAGCTGGGTAAGAAATATTGTTCATATGTTTTTCTGGGTGTTTATAAAGAATACCTAAATATCACAGTTTTCAAAAAAATCTTCACTTGGTAGAAAAAGAATATTAGGTTAAGTATTTTCTAATGAATGGGTTTATTATCTATATTGGTTAAATGATTTTTAAATTAGAGTTTGAAGAGTCGTTCATTTTGTTAGGCATACTTAAGATGCATGCAAGTGTACAGTAAGCTTGGGTCTTTGAAAATACCTATCTGATCCCATGGGAAAAGTAAGCAAAAGTCAGGTGGGGCTTTTCTGCCGTCACAGAATCGCCGGCAGGCATCTAAGCCTGGGAAGAGAGAGGCTAAAATCCTGGAATTCTCAGGAGTGTTCCCAGCAATTGCAATCCAGGGCATGCTGAGAGTTGTTCAAACTGTAGGAAACGTTCCCCCATTAGTGGGATGACAGTCAATTTAGTGGATCACACCTGCATATAAAAAAACTGAAGTAGACTTGCATGTAATGGAAAACATCAGGGTGCGTTGCAGACAATAAGGGTAAGTATTGCTTCAGGAGATTTCAGACACACACATGGGTGTTCAGAGCCGCGTTATAAATTTATTATTTAGCATTTTTACATTAAATCATATTATAAATTTATTATTAATCTATATGTCAAAAAAGTTGCAAAGCCAGCTTACCAGGGGCTGACAGAACCGGCCCTCCTTCGGTCTGAGGAGGGACGAGGAGGCATGGGTCAAGAGTCTCGGGGAGGAGATAATCTGAGGACAGACACCAAAGGTCACAAGCCACCACCTGAGCATCATATTTGTTTCACATACAAGCATCATCGTTTAACCATCAGTATTTAAATGTAGGTCTCATGGAAGAGTGCAGGTTTATGACTTAGGAAAAATCAAAAGGCCCGGCACCTCTGGACCCCCTTTCTGTTTGCCCCCATGAGAATGATTGGAGCTGAGTGTGCGCACCCCCGTTAGCCCAGGCCACGCTCTGCTGTTGCCCATGTCCCGGCCCCCCTCCCTCACTTTCCTGCCTGGTTCCTGGGGTCCCCAGCGGGTCACAGCTGAAGAGGTAGAATCAAGGAGAAAGGAAAAGGCAGGCAGCACAGAGCGTGTGTGGCACACGGTGAGGCCCTACTGGCGTACAGTCATCCCTCAGTATCAATGGGGGATGGGCTCTGGGACCCCCTGCAGATACCAAAATTTGCAGATGCTCAAATCCTTTATATAAAGGGACATAGTATTTGCATATAACCTGCACAATCTTCTTGTGTACTTCACATTATATCTAGATAGCTTCTAATAGCTAATACAATGTAAATGCTATGCAAATAGTTGTTTTTCTGTATTGTTTAGGAAATAATGACAAGAAAAAAGTCTGTAGATGCCACTGTCTTAGGCCTAATAACATGGCACACATCAGCCACAATATACCATTTTTTTCTATTTCGGATCTGAGATTGGTCGAATCTGCTGCTGTAGAACCCACAGATGTGGAGGGACGACTGTTTGTAATGAGGCAACTCACTTTACCCTGATGTCCCAATGTGTTTCTTTTCTAACAGTCGATCAATCAGAAATTTATTGAGCCTCTACAAAGTGCCAGGCACCATTCTAGGCCACCAGAGTCCTGTCCTCAAAGAACTTACAGTCCGTGAGGGGAGACAGCCAAAAAACAGGAACAGAAAGAAACAGGATAATTTGGGTTCTGACAAGTGCTGTGAAGAAGATAAGCAAGACAATGGGATGGAGAGTAACTGTGACAGCAGGAATCTGGGCTAGCTCCTGGCTCTGGAAGAGTCCTTGAGGAGGTAGCACCTGAGTTGCAATGTACATGATAAAAAGAAGACAGCCATATAGATATCTGTGGACAAGCGCCACACTGAAGGGACAGCAAGGCCTGAGATGGGAGCAATCTCGGGTGGCAGAGGACCTGAAGGCCAGTGTGGCTGTAAGGTCACTAACCCCAGGGAAGGTGGAGGGAGCTGAGGCCAAAGGTGGTATGGGGAAGAGAGTGGGCCCCTCCACGGTGGGCCGGCAGGGTAGGGGGGTGGTCCCGGGCTTTATTCTGCCTGCAGTGAGAAGTGGGGTTTAAGCAATGGAGAAACATCATCCATCTTATGTTTCTCAGCTGTAGCTGCACACGGCAATCACCTGAGGAACTTTTCAAACGTTCCACACTGGGACCCGACGTCAGACCAGTTAACTCAGGAAGGCTTGGTAGCTGCAAGAGCCGGGTCCTTGACAAGACGAAAGGGGATGGGATCTGCAGCTCAAGGTTGGCGGCGAGGTCAGACTTAGATAGGAGCAGGGTCACTTCTTGTAAACAGGATGCAGGGCTGAGTTACCAAATAGTTGTTATTCGATGGTTTTGCTTCTGGACCTGAATGCCGCATCCATGTTTAAGGCATTTCACTCTTGGGAGCTCGCCCTGAGAGCCCTGCTGTGTGCTGAGCTGTTCGAGTCTTTGAGGAGGTAGCTGAAGAGACGGATGTTTCACCCTCCCCTCCGCCTCGTCTTCTGGGTGTCCCCCCGCCCCGGCTTAGCTCCTTCCCTCCTGGGCCGCCTGGCCCTTGGCCGAAGCATGCCGGTCGTGCTCTGGGAGGTGCCATCAGCGGTACCACGTCCCTGCAGCAAGGCCATCTTCGTGCCTCCAAGCTGCCCCGAAGCAGTCTTTGCTGTGGTTCTTCCGTCCGCCTGTTTGCAGTGGCCCTGCTTCACCATTTCCATCACCCCTGTGGTGTCAGCACTCAGGAAACAATGGCAGGAAAAAGTCATTGTCATTTTAAAAGCCCCATTAAAAAATATATTTTAGCGCACTAGCCTTGTGATCATTGGCACTTGTACAGGAGCTCCCTGGGCCTGTTTCCGAGCCTCTGTTGTTCAGAAAAGGCGCCCTTTATTGGGTAATTGCAAAGGCCACCGTGCAGACAGGGGTGCGTCCCTCCCTTTGATGTGAAGCCATTTGCAGGCAACACTGCCACAGGCAGGACTAGGGCTGCGGTGACAGGTTCAGAATTTCTGATTTAAGAAAATGAAAGGGGAGGAGATGTGTGCAGTCATCCTCACAGGTCCAGCAGTCTAATCGCTCCGCATTCTAATTAGGGCTTTTGGCTGGAGGGGGCAGTGTTGCTAATGCCTCCCTGCTTATTCAAGCCAGACCAGCGACCTCAATGTGTCCTCCGCCTTCTCACCCATCCCTGTCATCTTTGCCATCACCAAGCCCCACAGGCTTTCTAAATGGGCTTCCAAATACTCCTGGCCTGCATTCCCCTTTCCCGCCGCTGCCACGCTGCCTTTATCCCTCCTTGCCTTGTCCCTGGTCTTCGGCCCTCCTGGCTTGCTCTCCAGGGGGGCTGCAAGTGGGTCAACACAAGGATCCTCAGCCCTTGGAGCAGAGCCTGGGGAAGCTGAGCTCCCAACCAGACACGGCTGTGAGCAGTGGTCTTATCCCTTTATCTTAATGGACCATGAAAAACCATTTTCTGGGCATGCTGAAAGGGCTAAGAGGTCAGCAAGCAAACAAAAGTCAGGTTGCATCATCTTGCTGAAAACCCTTACCTGTGCCTAAAGGAGTGTTTGCCAAACCGAGTTCCAGGGAACATTTTAGCAAAATATTAATAGCTTTTCCTTGGAAAAGGGTTCAGTGCTGAAATAAGTCTGTCTACTTTCTCTCCCTCTTGGAGTTGCAATACAGATGAGTATATTTAAAGGGTTGGTAAAGCCATCTGGTAAAGAAACCTGTTTAATTTTAATTCAACCCAGCATTTCAGAAATCTGCATGGCTGTGGAATCTGCGTTTTGGGGAACACAGTTTGGGAAACACTGACCTCACATAGAAGTACGCACATCTTTTCTATAAAAGGTCAGATAGTAACCATTTTAGACCTTGTAGGCCATAGAGTCTTTGTTCAACCTACTAAGCTGTGCCATTATAGTGGGAAATCAACCAGAGACAGATATATGGCCACTGAAATTTGGATTTCATATAATTAGATGTTACAAAATATTTTTTCTTTTCATCTTTACCCCAAATCACTTATAAAAGCCATTCTTAGCTTGCAGACTGTACCAGAACAGGAGGCAGGCCAGATTTGGTAGTAGTTTGCTGTCTCCTTGTATGCACAGCTCTGTTGTGATCTGGCCCAGCCTAACTTCCCCGGCCCTTCTCTCAACTCTCCTTGCCTACCCCACTCCACCATCTGCGCACCAGCAATGTGGAACTCCTTGCATTTCCCCACACCCTCCCATCCTGCTGTTTCACGTCTCATGCAGGACCTGCTATATAATTTGTTGGACCTAGTGCAAAATGAGAATGTGGTGCTCTTTGTTCAAAAATTATTCAGAATCTCAAAATGGCAACAGCAGAGCATCAAGCCAGTATGGGTCCCTTCTAAGCACGGGGCCCTTCTTGACTTTCCAGCTTGTACACATATGAAACTGGCTCAGACACCAGGCTTTTGTTCTTCTCAGCACTCCTTTTTGCCTCCTCGTAACCCTTCAAAATGCTTTGCAGGCTCCACCTCCTCAGTGAATCTTTCCCTGGCCAACTCTTAACCCCTCAGACCTCCCCTGCTCTCTCTACCATCCTTACCTGGCTCAGACCATTGCATTTCTCTGTACTGCATTTCTTGCTTTATACACATCTGCTTCTCTGCCTCTCTTACTAGACTGAGCAACTTCAGTCGGTAAAGAGATTTTATCTATTTACATAGCCCAAGAGCCTAAAACAGGGTCTAGTATATAGTAGGTGCTAAAGAAACATCTGTGAAATGGAACAGTGCCTGCTTGGTAATGCTGCAGGTGGTAGAATCCTTTTGAAGTTTACTGGTGATCCATTACAAAATTAGTGCCATGTGCTGCAGATATTTGCCAAGCAGACAGAGCATCCTCACTCACACTAAGTTTAATGGTGGCAATCCTGCAGGAGTAGGGGGAGCCCCAGGGCGCCTCTTCACTGTAACTGATGAGCTCACCTTGTAGATTGTGACGATACAAGGGCTGCATGCAGCTCCTTCACCTACGAGTGTGGGGGTGTTTTCCCCTCTAGAACTCAGCTGGGGCTTCTTGGCCACCACTGGACCACCAGGGTCTAGAACACCACCTGACCCACAGCCATGAATGCTGAATAAATATTTATGGAGTGAATGAATGAAAGAAGCAGATGCTAAAATGCAGGCACAGGCTAAAGATGCTCTGTAATCTAAAACAAAATAGGTGCTTTGTGATTCAGGAGTAAAGATCCTCAAGGGAGCATGAGCTATGGAAAGAGCCCTGGACCAGGAGTCAGCACTCTTGAGTTCCATTAATAATGATGACGATAACGTCTACGTTTTGAGTGTTCCGGCGCCATGTAAGTCACTAGGCCATATCATTTAACTCTCACCACACCCCCAAGGGGTGGGGACCATTGAGGAAGGTGAGAGAAAAGTTGAGTAGCCTTCCCCACTCACACAGCCTGTACTTGACCCCAAGTCTGATGAAATGCAAAGCCTACGCTCTTCCCACCGTATAGTCCTGCTCTCCCCGAACTTCCTCTGTGACCTTAAACTAGTCACTTAACCTTTTGGGTTCTCAGTTCCCATCTTAAAAAAAAAATGAAGATTAGCCTAGCCAGTCTCTGTGGTTTCTTTCAGCTTTAAACTTCAGTGTTTTGGAAGCACTGTGTTCTGTCAGAGAAGTAGACTAGGTGGTTTTGTTGTTGGTTTTTATTGTTTTTTCGGTTCTAGTGCAGAAAAGGAAGGCTTGAGTCATTTTGGAAAAGCTTGCAGAAGTATTTTTCTATGTGAAGCTCTTCCCCCCTTCCCTTCTGGGAAAAAAAAATTATCACAGACTAGAATATAGCAGCAGCATAATGTCAATTGCTGATGAAGAAACAGTGTTTTATTACAAGTCGAAGATGCTGCAGTCATACGCAAGACAGGTGTTTCAGTTCTAAGACTGGACATCTTTTTGCAACTCTACCTTACTCCCCTTTAGCAAACCTTATAGGGCTTTCAGTGCACCCTTCCATTCATCACCTGGTGAAGGCCTCCTAGCCTCCAGGACCCAGCCCTGCCCCTCTGGTCACCTCTCTTCCTCGTCTCCCCCTCACACACTCCATTCCTGCTGTTCCTTGAGCATGCCGGGCACGCTCCTGCCCTGGGGCCTCCGCAACTGCTCCTCCCTCTGCTGGAAACCCCGTCCCTCATCATCTGATGGCTACATGCCTCACCTCCTTTAAGGGTCTGTCTACCATGTCCACCCTGTTCAAATTTGCTACCTACCCCCATTCCTAGTCTCCTTTATCCTTCTCCACTTTTCTATTTTTGCTCTTTTCCATTGCACTTACTATCTTATATACCTTATTTTTTTTATGGTGGATTACTTATTGTCTGTATACACCTATTAAGATGTAAACCCTATGAGGTCAGGGATTTTTGTTTTGTCGCTGATGCATCCCAAGTGCCCCGGACAGTGCCTGACATCAGGAGGACACTCAATAAATATTTTTTTGAATCAAAAATTACGAACATGATCAAATTTAGGAATAGGAGTTATTGTTATGGGATGCAGAGTATATATGGGGACTTAGGTAGTTCATAAGCCTAAATTCAAGTGTTTGCCTTAGGTAGACTCCAAGCTAATAGCAACAAGATTCCATTCATTTCACCTGCTCCATTGATGATACCAGGCCTAAAATAGGGGTGAGGTCTTGAATGTCCAAGGAGGTTTTATCCATATAGTCGCAGACTTGATTATAAGCAATATAAAATTGTCAAATTGTGTAAATTCTTAGACTGAAAAAAATAATTGAAAGATGGTGATTCCTAAAAGAAGAAATGCTTTGACAAAACATTTCCTTTGTTATTACAGGAAAGAAGACAGTGGAATCCAAAGAAACAGTTAGGATGGGGAACTCTATGATGAAAATCAATGGGATTTATGTGGCAGAATCAAAGGCTATTGGCCTCGTGAAGAGCCGCCTGCTTCAGCCAACAGATGAGGGAGGCCTCAGTGAAGGCAAGGAACAGGAACTGTTCAAAGGGACAACATCTTTGCCATCTCCTCTCAGAAACGGAGGGTCAGTATTCTTTCTATATCATTTTCTGGTGAGGATAACAATATCATTTACCAGTTTGTTTTCTATCTTATGTTTATGGTTGGCTTGCATTTTCTCTTTTATGTAAAGCAAATTTTAAATTAATGATACATGAGTGGCAAAGATTTCTTCTCACAGCTAAATGGAGTTGGTTTTACATCATCTCCATTTAATCCTTAGGAAAACATTTATTCATTCTTGCCAAAATGCTGCTCTGATAGGACTGTCAGAAGAAAGTCTTTGCTTTAGTTGGACTGTTCCAGCCCACTGTTGAGTGACGACTGATGATTCTGTTTATGTTATTTGGGATTCTTGCCTGGACTGGAATCTCATTAGCTCCCTTTTGGTTGGCTTACCATTGTTAACTCCGCAAAAGAGTAGGCATTTAATTTATTTTTTTCTTCAGTAGAAACTTGGATTAAAATATTTATTTTGTAAACTAGTAGTAAAAATAGGAGAGTCCTGTAGATTTTGGTTATGAGACAATCCCTCTACTAATCCCTCATAAAATGAATGATTGGGAGCTGCTTTACTTCATACCACGTTCCTAGATAGTACTTTCTTTTTCACCCCAATTCTCACTGACACCTTCATCACACCCACTGGCCCCCTCGCCCCCGCTTACCTGGGAGCCCCTAAGTTCATACTATGTTCCTAGATAGGGCTTTCTAGGACTTTGCCCAGAAAATCGGGAGCAAATATCCTACCACATTAAGGGTTTGTAAGAAATGTTTATGGTATGGCCCACGTGGATTCTTACCTGGTGTTTTTCCAAGGCGGCCTTGAATAACTGGGGGCCAGGGCAGGAGCAGGCTGGGTTTTCTAGTCCCAGCCACTAACGCTGCTAAGATAAGCAGAAAGTCTCAGACTGGACAGGGTCACTCAAACATATTTTTCTATGACTTTCCATTGGGTCATTATGGACAACTGCCCAGTTCAAACTGGCCGAGCAAGATTACATTCCATGGGCCATTTTAAGACCAAGTTCTTGTTACCCTCACTTTAGATTTCAGGCCTGACTTTGGTTTGTACACATGTTACGTGCTTAAAACTTTTCTCCAAACCAGCAGCTTGGCGGCTGGTTAGTGTAGCTGAACTGATCTCATCTTTTAACACAGCCTGAGGAGTGTCGCACATGCTGCATTTATATTAGGCAACCTAGTAGTCCTTGTAATGTCACTTCGCATTCAGAACATTTTTTAAGTGAAAGGAAAAATGAAATGTCTCCTTAAGTGGAAGAGAACAAACTTCAAATTGGGACTTTGGGAGCTGAGCACAAAACATCACACTGGCCATTGCAACAAATCTTTTCCAGTTGGTGAGTAAGAATAGGCTACAGGCCTCAGAGCTTTAACATAAAAGGCAGCCAGAGAACTTGTGTTTCTTTCAGCACTGAAGTGAAAAGGAAATATTTATCCTGCTGCACCCATCCTTACAGTAATTAAAGTTGACTAGGAAAACCAGACAAGAGCTGTTTTGTTTTATTTTATTTTTTTTGCAAACCTTCAGATGTTGCAGAATAATCTGGCAAGCCAGAGTTCATTATGTCTTCTCCCGTCTGAGACAGCAAAGGCATTTTCAATTACATATTTTATCCCACAAAGAGCAAAGGAGAAATCAATTAGGGACTGGACGCACTTATTCCTGGCTGTCCAAAATTATGAGGCGTTGGCACTAATTTTTAATTGTTTTCTTTTTGTTTTGTTAGCATGACTTTTGTATCATGTAATGATTGTGTCTGAGTTGTGTTTGCAGTATACCCTGGCAAGTTTAACTTCCAATAACATTTTTGCTTTATGAATCTTTACCTCCTTTAATCACTGAATGGGATTTTGTTGAGGTGCCAAAAAAATTTTTTATACAGTAAAATTAAAACAAACCAGCAAATGGAAACTATTAGCAATTCTTTCATTAATTACATTTGTGAATCAATCTGGGACATTTGATAATTATTTCTTGTAAACATTTAAGTGAATAATTCCAAGAAGTGATCTTTGCTTTGCAGTGGAGTGTTCCCAGTTTTGATGTTAAAGCCTTACCCTCAATTAACGTGTTTTTTTTTTATCTTTCGTCCATAAACTGAAAAATGAGGAGGCTTGTCAGTGAGCCGGGCTGTCAGAAGAAGGGAGAGAAGGGACTATGCCATTAGAAAAGGGAGAGGCCTGAGATGACCAAAGCAGGAGCAGGCTGTGTGAGGGGGGCAGAGGAGGGGAGGGCGCGCTCTGCTCTGCCAGGGTCCTGCGCCTCACGCTGGGAGCTCGGGCTGGGGAGAGAACAGAGCAGTTCCTTTCAGTGACGCAGCATTGGTCTGTGCACCCTCAATCTAGAATATAGATAACGCAGACGGAGGAGGGCCTGCAGTTTAACTTTATGCTGGATGTGACGGAAAAGGATTTGCTAAGCAAGGTATCATGGCAAACAAGATTTGGGGGAACTATTTAACTTTCCAAAAGAGAAGACACTCTCAAGCACTTAACAAATTATCATTTTAAAACAGTGTGCCAATTACAACAGTCTCTGTGTGTTCGTTTAAGGATTCATTTAAAGTTTGGCAGGCTTGCTCTTTAGCAACACTCCATTTTCTCTTACTTTGGTATATGGATTGAAAAGAGCTTTCATTAAACTGTATATATGGGGGTGGGCAAAAGTAGGTTTATAGCTGTTTGTGTGGAAAAAGATATGCAGGTTATGCTTATTACAGTAGCTTTATTAACTCTGTGTTTTGTACTCACAACTGTAAACCTAATTTTGCTAACCCCTGTATATGTATAAATCTCCTTCCATTTGTCCACCTGTCCATCTGTCCATCCATCCATACTTCCAGTGGTTCATTCTGATGAAATCCTTTATATATCTGCTTAAAAAACCTTTTAAGGTTTTCTGTGTAATATTGTTCAAACGTTTGTGGTTTGGAAATGTAATTTTTAGGAGGAAAGGCCAAGAGTAGTCAGTTGTAGAGAGTCAAGAACTCTTTGCTGGGATCCAGAATCCCTGGATGTGGTTATTCTCTCAGCCACATGATTTCTCTATATGTTTTTCAGCAAGTCTCTCAGCACTTTTGGGGGCTCAGTTTTTTAATCTGTAACTTGGAAATAACTGTGCTCCTTCACTCCTGTCTCCTCCCAGCTGTCTCCGAAGGTTGTAGAATAATCAATAAGGCTTGAAAGGATTATATTTAAACTATCAAGTGCTGTTAGTATTGTTTGAGTCAAAAATAAGAAAAGAGGGCTTTTGGTTAAAGATGGCAGAGCAAAGGTGTTCTGCAGAAGCCCAATCAAAGCAACAAAGAATAAAAAACAGAGAAATAAATGGCATCAATGAAACAAGGGGAAAAAATGGTTCCAACTCCAAACTACAAACCAAGAAACAAATTTTACACTGCACTATGGCTTCTGTCCCACCACCAACACCCTTTGGAAAGTAGGCTGTCTTGCATTGTATATTAAATCCTGCTCAGTCCATGTTTGCAGGAGGCCTGTCCCTGTCTCTCCTGCTCCTCTTCCTAGAGGTGGTAAAGTGGCCCCAAGATGGCTACCCAGAATTCCCCAACCCATCAGCCGTACTACTTGTTTCAGATGTGGTCACATGATCCAGGCAAGGCCCATGGAATTCTTCCCTGGTACTTTTGCCAAAGTCTTTCGGGAAAGTGCTTTTTCTCCAAGTTCACAAGCAATAAAGATGATGTTGTCTTAGAGCCAACAGTGACCAATGTCTAAACAAACAGAATGGAGAGAATGGCCAAGTTCGAGGATGCTATATAAACCCCTAGACCCAGCTGTGCCTGAGACCACCACGTCCACACTCTAGACTGCTCTGTTTTGAACCAATATGTTCCTTTTCCTTTCTCTTTCTTTCTTCTTACTCCTTTCTTTCTCCTCTCTCCCTCCCTCCTTTCTTTCCTTCCTTCCTCTTTCCTTTCTTACCTTTCTTCTTTCCTTTATTTGTTTATTTTGGCAGGGCCAGCTTGTAGTACTTCAGATTAGGTATTCATTACTTGGAATATTGCAACCAAAAGAGTCTAGTTAACCTGCCAGACTCTATAAACTATAGATGAAAACAAGAGGTAATTTGAGAGCAGACACCTCCTCAGACCTTGAGCAAGAAACAGGTTTCAATAAAACAGTCTCTCAGTTCAGGAAGGTGTACCCAATAGTCTTTAATGAAAGAAACAAGGTCTAAGGTGTGGGAAGGCCACTGGAGAAGTGAGGAAGCCACTGTAAAGGCCCCATATAAGATCCAGATCATGAAGCAACTGAAGGGGGGGGGAGAATGAAGCTGAGGGCGACATGCTCTCATTTCATGTGAGCCAGCTAATTTGTGCGCCTGTGTACATGTGTGTTTGAAGGTGGGTAGTATGATGATCAGAACTCAAGGAGCACAACAGGGCTTTTCTGTGAGTCGCAGCAACTTGCAACACACAAGCCAAGGGAACACGCAGTCCAAATCAAGAGAAATAACAGACTTAGTGAATGAAGGTGCAGCACACCCCAGTTCTCTCCCTCTGTGAATCCTTTTCATTATTCAACAAATATATGGCTCTATTTAAAGATAAGTAGTATTAGGACTAGAGTTAATATGGGACTTGATTGTAGGTATGTAAAGAACTTAACAAAAGACAGATGAAGAAAATGAATCGCAAAGAAATTACTCTCCAAACACAAGGAAAGAGTTAAAACAATTTTTCATAGCATCAAAGAAATTATAGGTAATGTTATTGATCTCTTTTTTAAAAGAGGGAAAAAAGAGCTCTTCTTTGGATTGTAAGAATTCAAATTAGAGGTTATAATCCTACATAAGAGATGAAAAGTATGCTTGCAGTTCTCAACAATGAAAGAAAATGTATAAATGCGGAGAGGAAAGCCACATTAGACATTAAAAATGAGAATAAAAACAGTTGAAAATGCAATGAGACCTAGTGGACAGGTCAAAAAGAAATTAATAAGAAGATAGGAAAATGATTAGAGAGATTGAGGTAGATATGG